AATTATTTTAATATTTTCCGCTACGACCCATATTTTTAAGAAACAAAGACACGATTACCAAAAGTGAGTACACGTTCAATTTTATTTTAAAATATAATTGTAGAAAATTCAATAGTGTATTTCAAAAATCTAGTATGAGTTTCAGACATTACCCAGTTTTAAGTGTTCCGTACCATATGTCAATTATAATAATTATTTTATAAGTTACAATAATAATATATTGAAATTAACCTTCACAGACATAGTAGCTTTATACATTAGGAACTGGAAAATCCTAAAGGTTCCTTATCAAATATATAATGTCGAACCTAAATTTAGGCATTATTGAAATAGAAAAAAATATTGAAATAGGAATCAAACTTAGCACAACCTAATATTTTTACCATGTTCGTATAATTTTGGAAGATGGGACTTATCGGTCCACTCTTTCTATTACTTCAACCACAAAGGTTCAACATTTTAAAAACTTGTAAATCTCATATGAAGCGAACGGAATATCCAAACGAAAACCATAGGTTGAGGGTAAATATCTCTGTAACACCGACTAAAACTAATTTCATTGTTTTCAAACAAAGTTTATTTTTTCAATGAAAATTGTTGTTTTTGTAGCGTCTGAAATACATAATATAATAAAGCTATTTTAGTGGGTTTCCCGACTGTAACAGCCATCCAAATGGTTCACTTCGTTGCGGACACTTTCATATTCATTACATGGAAGAAACCTATATACCAGGGATTGTGCTGATGATTATTACATCTTTACTAATCCTCTTCGATGTTATGCAAGGTGCACTGCTGCAAAACTCATGTGGGGGCGAGAAGAAGGCTTTTATACTTTTTAAGGGATTTACGGCTGCTGATTGCAACCGTTCACTCAGAGACATTTGTCCATTGGTACCTGAAAAGAGGGGAGAAAAGAGAATGGAAGAGAGAAAAGATAGTGGAAGTTGGAGATTATAAAAAGGTGGTTATTTTAGCCATGTCAAAATCTTAACAAAGCTTAGGATCTGCTTGTGGTCTATTCCGGAGAAGATTGCTAGATTATCAATTTCATATTTGCCGAACTGTCTGTGTCTTCTGCCACCTAGCGATGAATAGCTACAGAAGATATGTTAAATTTTTTCTAGCTCTTCCTCATCCTCACATAGACTAATCCACTCCGTTGATGTCCCATTTTGAAGTGAGAGATCTAATCTTGCAGTGATCTGTTATAATCCCCACAATGGTCTCTCTTGTTATGCGACAACAGCGAAGAAGTTCTACGGCGAGAGAATTCTGACCAGATGGTTTTCGAAAACCTGCACCCAGGTTCGGATGATAGCCATCTGTTGCCGACTATCTCGCAATACTTCAAACGGATTCTATAAATAAAGTATGGTCGATTGTACAGATATCTCACTCGGAAGATTGGACGACTGTGAACACACCCGAGTAAGCTCGTCGGCGATCTCATACCCTTCTATGTTACAATGTCCTGGAACCCAACATAATTTAACCATCCGTCATATATCATGAAGAGCAACCTTGTAATCAAGAACCGCTTTTGAAGTAATGGTGTACGACTTAAGGACCGCTATGTGTTATCGGCAGTAAGAGTTTTGCCTATCTCAGCCGCTTTCGCGATTGCCAGGATCGAAGCCGATCGCTGTACTGTATTCATTTTAGCCAGCAGTATTTTCTTGTTGATCCGTTGCCACCATACAAGGCATCCATATGTAAGAATGGGGAGTACTACCGTCACATACAACCTCTCTGTATGATCTATGGCTTTAGTCCTCAACTCTTACCTATAGAGAGTGCTATTAGTCCTTTCTTAGTGCGTTCCTCAACATTCCTTTTCCACGTTAATTTGTGATCAAGAATTGTACCAAGGTATTTTGCTTCTAAAGAAAGGGCTAAGGTAACTCCACCCAATTTAAGGTCAAGAATTGTACCAAGGTATTTTGCTTCTAAACAAAGGGCTAAGGTAACTCCACCCAATTTATTTTACGTTTCCTAGTAAAGAGTACCATGTCTGTCTTAGTGGGGTTTATGCCAAGACCATTGGTACGAGCCCAGTGGGGCAGAGTTGAAGGGCACCCTTTATGATATCGGAAATAGTCGGCAGAAACGTCCCATCGACTGGCAGGACTATATCATCAGCATAGGCTACAACATTTGTTTTAAAGTTGTCGAATTTAAGCAGTATCTCATCTATCACCAGAAGCCATAGAAGGGGAGATAATACTCCACCTTGTGGTGTGCCTCTGTTGACAGATTTCCTCATGGAACTCTCTCCCATGAACGAATTGATAATTGTGCTTTCCAGCATTCTATCAATCCAATCCGTTAAGAGGGAGGGGATACCTGAACTATCGAAAATGTAGGGAATGTTACCTATAACAAGAACTATCAGAAGTCCTCCATAATCGTAAAAGACATTGTAAAGAGAGAAAAATATGAAATAACCAGTGAGCGGAGCAGTATAGTCGGACGGAGCCGACCATACAATACCCTATACAACTGTCACGGAACTCTAACTTTCTGAGGATTTTTATTCCGAGCCTAGGCAATATACCGATTAGAGGTCAACTGCACCTCTTCCTTACACTGACTTATTTTCCGTATTTTACTAATATTTAGTACAGTCCTTCTAAATACTTGTCGAGATTCCCTTCACCTATAGATAGGCTCAAAAAAAAAAAAAAAGGTTTCCGGTCCACTTCATCCCAAAAATGATTACCTGATCATCACCGAAAATTATAGTCGTTGTCCTTGACCATAACTGAAATCTCATTGAAAATTTCAAAGCGATCAGCGCTATATTTTCACACTCTAGCGTGGTAATGGGTTACTAAATAATATATGAATACGTAAGCACCTCTAAATATTGAAGCGTAACTCCCGCATTTTTTACGTTTTTGGTATATTTAAAGGCCAACCACTCCTCTTTGATACACCAACTTCTCGGGTCTATGTCCTTCAGGAGTAAATATATACGCTATAGAATACACATTTTGTCATTTTTCACACAAAAGTCAGGGTCCATTTGACCCGCTAAATATTGACCGATCTTTATCAAAACATGCATGCTTATTCCTTGGCTCAATACCCATCTCCTTGTAAAAATTTGAGATGTTTGGGCCATAATTGCGGCCTCTAGAGCGACCAAAAAAACAAACAATAATAATGTATTTGGTCCATTTCATCCCCTAAATATTAACCGATCTTTACCAAAAACAATAGGGGTCTTCATTGGCCCATTTACCCATTCTACATGCAAAATTTCGTGAAGATTGGTCCATAACTGTGGACCAATCTTCACAATCTTCTTCGTGTTTACAAATTATAATGGAGAGACGGACGGACACACATGTCTAGATCGACTCAGCCAGTCGAGATATGATATGATCGGTATACTTAAAGGTGAGTCTAGGACCAATATTTCGCGGCGTTACAAACTATTGGGGCTGCACAAAGCTATAATACCCTGACAACAAAGTTGTGTAGGGTATAAAATTGGGGAGATTTAAGGGTTAGGCAATGGAAATCGTCACCCTTATTACGGTAGACGTAGTCGTTGTACGGCAGCTCTCGTAGGGGTAGTCGAAGGCGTTGTCGTAGTCGTTTTTGTTCGGTATTATGTAAATTTACGACAACGCCAAATTTGTAATAGATTTTTCTTTTACTCTGTTACAAAAAAATCTTGTTTTCCCGTGGAAATATTTACGCTATACACTAAAAATTTTGTCACTTTAGGTTTTGGTTAGTTTGACTCTCGGAATATTGATCGCTCATCATCTAAACAGCCGCTCTAAGTATTTGGTCGATCTCCTTCACCATGGTAAATATGTGATGTTCTGCATACAATAATGGTCTCTAGAGCGATTAGAAATTCTAACAAATTATCTCAACATCACCAAAAACCGAATCAAACCGATCAGCGCGACATTTCCGCTCCCTAGTAGGGTAATAGTAATACTAAACAACATAGTCATAACACATAGTCATCTTTAAATATTTACGTATAACTCTCACATCCGAGTACATACATGGTATCAATTTAAAGGTCAACCACACTCCCCTTTGTTATACTATTAACCTATCGGGTCTATATCCTTCAGGAGTAAATTTATACACCCCAGAATATAAATTTTGTATTTTTCACACAAAATTCTGGGTCCATTTGCCCCAATAAATATTGAACGATTTCCCGATTCTATCGACCTTGTGGAGAGTGTGAACATTGAATAAAAAAACATTTTTTTATTTTATTTTCTTTTTATTTAAAAATATACTCGTAATGGATTATTGATTCGCAAAATAATAAATACATTTTATAAAGTAATATTATAATAAGAGTTTTTTTATATTTATTATTTTTTTATTTATGTATTTAAAAAAACATGATTCGTTTAAATTATTTAAATAAAATTATACATTTTATTTTTCATACTTTAATAAATAAAAAAATAATATTTTATATGAATCAATTTGATTATTAAAATGAATATGATAGACATAGAAATCGAGAAGACAGTGATAGTTATCTCTGAGATTAAATCAAGTTCAACAAATCGCAAGTCTAATAAGAAACCGCGATGTTAATTTGCTACAACAAATTTCAAATTAGACTTGCAAGAGTTGCAACTTTGGGCAATTGGTGGTGGTGGTGGTGGTGGGTGGATGATGATAGAAAGCAGTTCCTTACTATGAGTGTGAATTATGTGAATATCTGTATATATTACGGATAGAAATGTACGTATATATGTTGAGAAGTTTACGGTATTGAAATATTTTGTTGTATGTTTGTTTTCTTTTTTCTTTTCTTAAAGCAAATTATTTAAATATTAAATATTATAAATATATTGTTTTTTAAATACCTATTTAATAAATAATAATAATTATAATAAATTATAGCTACAAAATAATAATAATAAGATTAGAATTTGTGAAAAATGCCTAGAAAATTCTTTAATTAATTTAATTTTTTTTATTCCGTTGTTTTTTTTTCTTATTGGTAATTTAAATTTTCAAACTACGTGGTCCCATGCGTGGTATACTTCTTGGTCCACTCATCATGGCTTTGGTTGGTTCTTTGCGGGCCTGCGGTTCTTCTCGTGGCACCTCGGCTTGGGCATTCACTTCGTCATCGGTGTCATCGTCACCGAACAACAATGCTGCCAAACTGGTTTCGAATTTCGATTTAATACGTTTGGTGGTGGTTTCGGGGGCCTTGGTGGTACTGGTACTACTACTGTCGACTTCTTTATTTTCGTCTAACAAAGGTTTAACAGTTGTGGTAGAGGTTGTGGAAGAAGTCGAGCTGGATGACGACGGAAGGGCTTGCTGTAAATGCAGTGGCAATTCCATGCGACTGGCCAATGCCAAGGGTATATTATTGCTTTCATGTTTCTGCAATTGTTCCTGCTCCTCATCTTCATTTGCCAATTTGTAACCAGGTGGATAGATGGGTTTGAAACCTCCCTGTAACTCCGGTTGGAATTTATCCATTTCAAAAGATTTCAAAGTAGTGCTCTCAGCGGCCTCATCCTCCTGTCCTCCTTCCTTATTGTTATTGGAATCACCTGAGTTCACATCCGAACGATCGATATTATTCTTGCTGTACAAAGGTTCCTTGGTGGTCGATTGTAAAATATTCCAACCATTCGATGGGGTACTGGTCACTGAGTCCAAACTAACACTGGGATAGAAGGGAGCCATGAAATTCTTTTCATAATTCTGACCCCGCAAATCGACATCATGTCCCCTATCGGCAGCCTCATCATCGAATTGACGAATTTCCTTAATGACCGGTGTGGCCAAATTCACATTTGAGTACATTTGCTGTTCCTGATGTTTTTGTTGTTGTTGCATCTGCTGCTGGTATTGCTGTTGTTGTTGCATTTGATAGTGATGCTGTTCCTGTTGCATTTTTTTGATATGGGGTGTGGGTTCAGTGGGGGTGTAGGCAATGGCAATGGGTGCCACGGTACCCGTACCATAGGCTCCATTAATGATTTTGGGTGCAATCAGGACACCGGGTACCTTAGCTGGCTTATTCAGTTCACTGTATGAGGGATCGGGTTTTTCAATTGGATATGGGAAGGTGTCTTTGGCAGCTTGAGCCTTTTGTTGTTGTTGCAGGGAAACGGGTTTCTTATTTTTCAGAATTGGTTCCTGTGGTTCATCGCGGACCACGGAGAAGGGTGTATTTTGGTATTCACTACCGGTGGGGGGTTCAACATGAGCCACGGCGGGTAATTTATTTTTCAAATCATCCGAAACTTTATCACCCGATTTCTTATCTCCTGCCAAGGGGTAAACCACATACAGACCATTGCGATTATTCGATTCTGCAGCTTGGTTAATTTCCTCTTCCGCTTCATCTAAACTGGGTACCTGAATTTCACCGGCACCGGTATCGTCATTTGGCAAAGAGACAGCCTTCTTTTGGGATTGCAACATTTGTAAGGTGACAACAGGTTCCAATTTAGCATCATTGACCAGGGACGACTCTTTGCTGGGAGCAATGGGTTGTGGTGGATCGTTGATAACCAAATCTTCTTCTTCGAAAGCGGGCAATTTCTCCAAAACTGGAGACATAACATGTCTCTCCACATTCAACGATTCAGCTGGTCTCAAGCCATGTGGTGGCATATGGGGTCTACGTAGTGGTGGGTATGCACCAGGACGTTCCAAATATTGCATACCTTGTCCGCCGTAAGGTGAGACACGATAAATACGTCTGTTGGCAATTTCATGCGGAGCTAATTGGGGTGGTGGTGGTCCAACTGAGGCATAATCCACATTACGATTCAAGGGATAACGGTTAGGTTGACCACCCAAAGGCTGGCGACGATGTGAAAATTGTGGATTTCCTCCTACATTGGGACCACGTTTCAGGTGAGGAGGTTGAGGTCCACCTACCAAGATGTTGCCGGGTTCCTGATTGAAATTAGTCTGTTGAGGATGGCCAGTGGATACCTTCGAACTTGGTCGGAATTGTGGTAAAATATTGGGTAAATGACGGTCGGGATTGGGGCGAGTAATACCGGGTATGGGTTTACGGGTATATTCATTGAAGGGATATTGTGGACCACCATGAGGCCGGTTTGGTTTTTGCAATTCATGTTCGTTAATGCTGTTGGGTAGTGGTGGTGGGAATCGTGGAGGCGGTACCATGTGGGTCGCGGGAGTATTGGGTTCATTCGATGTCGGGAAATTCTGTGAAGAGAAAGGACATTTATTATTGAAAAATAATATCCAAGATCAAATTTTTATCGGTGTACATGGATATTTCTATATAGTGGGATTTTCGTTGAGGTATTAAAGTCTCGGGGGGTGGCGTAGTGGATGATAGATACCAAACAACGGCTCTGATTGACTTTAACAATGCAAAGCCTCTCTTTTATCTCAATTGTGGACTCTGACCTCTCCGTGTTGTCACTTGGCTGTAATGTGGAATTTCGGGTTCTTGGGGAATTAAACAACATATGTTCAATAACCTAGCGGAATTTTCCAACCTAAGTCTCTTTAATCTGGTACTTCGTTTTCTCTAAGGATCAAAATCCTTTTAATAGATAATTTACAACGAAGATCCCCAACGGTCCCGAGCAATTTTTGGTATTTTAAATATGCACTTCATTGTGCATCGTTTAAAATGTTCGGCCGAATCGAACCTACTCTTTTTTTACTTCTTTAAAAATATCCATGTACACCGTACCCCCTCTAAACCTCCTGAAAATTTTAAAATATCTTACCAATTTCTGTTGATGTTGACTCATAGTTAGAACTTCATGTTTTTGGATTTGTACAGCTGCGGGATCAGCACTTACCACCGTACCACTAACGGTCTCTTCGGATTTGGGGAAAACAACAGTATTGCTATTTTGTATTTGCTGCAGACTCAAGGGTTGGGCGTGACCATTAACTTGGGGTCCAGCTGGTGGTCCATTCGAAACGGGTAGCGAGGGTACCTCAGCCGATTGTTCTTCATTGGCGGGGAAACGAATATTTGTGGATACTAATAATTCTTTGGTATTTTGATTTGAACCCAAGGTGATCGAATTGGGATCAGCATTCTCTTGAGGGTCAACCGATTGGACAGATCCAACGCCGGCTCCTTGCATGGCTACTGGAGATTGTTGTTGTTGCTGTTGAGGTGGCTGGGGTTTTTGAGCGGGATTTTTATTTCGAATATTTGAACCAATCAATGGCAACTGTTGATATGGTGAGGGAGCAGCTGGTGGGGCTTCTTGGTACACATTATTACCCGAAGGTCTGGGAATATCAGGTCTCACTGCATCCGTGCCATAGTTACCATTTTGATGGAAATTCGAAGTGGGAACGGGTTTGGGCATTTCCTGATAAGGTGTTGGTGGGCTGGGAGGTGGCTGGCGATTCAAGGTGCTAATGTCCTCATTGATAACGGTACCATATTGGACGGGATGTTCCTTGGAGAATAGTGGTTCCTTTTCAACGCTGCCAAATGAATTGGCGCCCACTTGCTGTTGACTACCCAAAACAAAGGAGGCAGAATTTTGTCCAGGCGAAATGACCACATTATTTATGGCTCCTGGTGCGGGACGATATTGCATTATATTGGGTTGTTGAACTTGATACGAAACATATTCGTTGTTGAAGTTCTCTTGATTGCCGGAAATCACCTGACCATTGAGCGAGGATGGGGTGTTACTGGTGGCGCTGAAGGTTGGCTTTGTGGGTGGAGCCTGAGGTCTACGTGCCGAATTCTGTTGCATGGCAAATGGTGATGGTTTCGAGGGATCTAAGGGTTCCATTAAATTGCCTTGGGCATCTAGTCCCTGATGCGAAGGATTGCTTACGGCAGCCACGGCGGATTCTTCCTCAGCCAAGCTATTGAAAATATCGGCCAATGTCATGCTGGGTTTTTGTTCGAATTTATTTTCCACATTCTTTTGATCCAAAGTGTGATAAACATCAGCGGGATCGAGTTCGGGTATGCGGGTGCTAGTAGGCAGAGGACTGAATGCGGGTGGTGATGTAGGATCTTCGGTGAAAACAACAGGTTGGCCGGTGGTACTTGTACTGGGTGGAGCGGGATACCAGTCCTTGCTTTCTGTGGCTTCAGTGGGGAAAATGGCAGCAGATGGTGTGGGATGGCGTGTGGTGAGCACGGCAGTTGTTGTTGGTTTGGTGGGTTTGGTTGTCACATTGAATTGCTGTTGATCGGGGAAACGCATGGCGGTGGTGCTGGTAGATCCAGTCGTCGAAGGGCTATATTTCTTGGTGGGCACAAACTTCTTACGGGTTGTGGTGGTCTTGGGTACCGGGGTAGTTGTTGTAGTTGGTCGCTTACTCGATGTGGTATATTTGGCAGATGATGTGGCCAATGTGGTTTGGGTTGGAACTGGAGCTTTTGTGGTGGTGGTGGTCGATGTAGATGTCGATGTTGTGGAAGTTGTGGTACTGGTCGAAGTAGAGGTTGTTGATGTTGAAGTCGACGTAGAAGTTGTGGTGGGCTTCTTAGTGGTACTAGTAGTACTTGTAGTTGTCGTTGTTGTACTACTACTTGTCGAACTGCTGGGCTGTGTTGGTGGCACCGGTGTCAATTTAGTTGTGGGCAATGTAAAATAATTGGCCGTATGATAATTTGGTGCCAGCGTCGCCTGCACCACTTGCGTCGGCTTCTTATTGGTGATATAATTTTTATTACTTCCCTGATATTTCAAATTCGCATAAGAACTTGAAACCAGAGGATAGACAAATTTCGATGATGAATATTTAACCGGGAGATTAAGAAAATCATGAATATTCGGCGATGAAGAAGTTATGACTGTCTTCTCATTCGGATCAACGACTTCATTTGCTGAAGTCTCAATACCAGCTGGCTTTTTAACATTGAAATCTAATTGACCGGAAATAGGATCTTTGGCAGCGTAGTAAGGTTTTCCATCATTGAAAATTTGATTTGGCAGTACATAGCTGGTCGAAATAACGGGGTCATCATCTTCTTCGAAACTATCACCATCGCCACCTCGTGCTTCGACGGGCAGTTGGGCTGATGAGAGTACAGCGGCGCTGCAGCCAACGCATATGGCGACAAAGGCTATTAGAAGCCTTATTTTAAATTTAATCATGATGTTGTTGGTGGGGAATTATCTGGAATGACAGAGAGGCAATTTTTAGAGGTTAGAAATGCAGATCAAAATATATAAATGTAAAATGTAATATAAAGAAGAGATTATATCGATAAAAAAGACTTCCTGAAGTAGGAGCAGGTCTTCTATAAATATAAAAGGCATTTCATTAATAAAAGAGGTCTTCTATTAATAGAAAATATTTTCGATGATGGAAGAGGTCTTCTAGGGATAGCAGAGATATTATACGGATAGAAGAAGTCGTATAGGTATGGAAGAGATCCTCTATGTATATAAGATACGTTTTATTGGTAGAATTATTGTTACAGATAAAAGAGGTCTTCTACGGATATTAGAAGAGGTCTTCTATGGATAGAAGAGATCTTCCATGGAAAGAAGAGGTATTTTATGGATTGAAGAAGTTTTCTATGAATAGTTAAGTTACATTTTTTGAATAGCCTCAATAAAAGGTCCCGCCCAGTTTCGATATTCTGGTCCTTTTTTCAACCTGAGTCTTTAATTTTGTATTTCGTACAAACCCACCCTGGTATAACCTCCATATAATAAGACAGACCGACATTACTTACCCGGCCAAACTTTTTAAAACATAAAAAAATTTTTGAGGGCCCTGTTTTGGTCATGTATATTTTACAAATAGTTTTAGAGGTCCTAGTTAAGGCGTGAAGTTTATAAAGAATTTTTTAAGAGGTCCTAGTTAAGGCGTGGTGTTTTAAAAGAATATTTTAAGAGGTCCTAGGTAAGGCGTGGAGTTTTTAAATAATATTTTAAGAGGTCCTAGATAAGGCGTGGAGTTTTTTTAACAATATGTTGAGATTTTACATGGTTTTTTAAATATTTTAAGAGGTCCCAGTTAAGGCGTGGATTTTTTAAGAATATATTAAGAGGTCGTGGTTAAGGCCTGGAGTTTTTAAAGGATATTTGTTCAAGGACTATCAGAGAAGTGATTTTTTTAAAGAACATTTTAAGAGGTCTTGGTTAAGGTGTAGAGTTTTTAAAAAAATATTTTATGAGGTCCTAGTTAAGGTGTGGTTTTTTAAGTATATTTTTTCAAGGACTATCAGAGACGTGGATTTTTAAAGAACATTTTTCGAGGACTATCAGAGACGTGGATTTTTTAAAGAACATTTTTTTTCAAGGACTGCCAAAGGCGTGGATTTTTGAAAGAGTATTTTAAGAGGTCCCAGTTTAAGCGTGGATTTTTTAAAGAATATGTTGAGAGGTCACAGTTTAAGCGTGGATTTTTAAAGAATATGTTGAGAGGTCCCAGTTTAGGCGTGGATTTTTTAAAGAATATGTTTAGAGGTCCCAGTTTATGCGTGGATTTTTTTTAAAGAATATGTTTAGAGGTCCCAGTTTAGTCGTTGATTTTTTTAAAGAATTTGTTGAGAGGTGGATGGGGGTGGATTTTTAAATAATATTATTATTTTTAGAGCTTCCACTGCGCTTTCAAATACAATTATAGGAAGTCAAAATATATAACATCTGACCATTGCTTTAAATATTTTTTCTACTTCTTCTTCCTCATATCGACCCACAAAAAAACAATTATTAAAATTACATCATACCCTCCTGCATGTTGTAGTAGAAATGTAAATTCAATTAATCTTCTCTTCGAGTTGAAATGTTTTGAAAACTTCACAACAATTTGAATAATTACATTTTGTTGTTCATGTCTTTCTTTCACTACCTGTATCTTCTTCAATATGTTATTATTTTTTCGTTATGATTTCAATAAATCATTCATTGATTGTATAATAAGAGAAAAGTTAAAGTAAACTATAATTTATTTTGTATTATTGTTGTAATTACTGTAGTTGTTCAAATTGTGTGTGACTAGAAAAAAGAAACGAAATATTGATGTATTTTTTTATTTTCATGTAGGCTCAGCAAACAAACTGATACGATTTTATGAACATAGACTGAACCATATTAAAATATGATAACACTTGTAATCTAATAGGAAAGCTTCAAGATAAAGTGAAAATCGCTAGAGATTTGCAATATTAAAAATTATGTAAATTTTAACACATTAAAAGAGCGTAAATGGTCTACATTAATTTGTACTTCATATCTGTATCCGACTTTGATCAGTCACTTGGTTGAAAATACTTTTGCATCTTCCCCCCTTATAAACTTATTTTGTCTTAATTCTTGGGTTGTTGTTCCCCGAAAGATGTTTCTTGGTCAACCTCGATTACGTGATACTTGGGGATTTAATTCAAGCACCTTTCTGGTGTCGTGGACAATTTTTCTTCAGACATGACTATTCTATCCCTTTTTCTTACGTTATATATTCCATTGTCCTCGTATATATAAATAATCTACATTTATAATGTCCAGCTGTCTAATCGCGTTTATTTTGTGCACACTGTTTTTCTCAGTAACATTGGCAACACTGTTTTGGCATTCATTTCTTCTTCTTCTCCGTTCAGTTGTCTATTTTAAAAGCCGGGTCGGTCGTGAATTGTACTCGTTGGTTGAAAATCCTTCAAATGTAATTAAATATTTAGTTATACCCAGGGTTTAAAATGCTAACGCCAAAATAGCAAAAACACAGAAAATTGCCGCACTGCTAACTAAATTCATCCTCAAAATATGCAGCACAGCCAAGCACAACTGCAATAAATAGCAATACATTACGAATAATTTTAGCAAGCAAAACTAAAGCTTCTTGATTTTGTCAGCAGTTACAAAATAGCAATGAACAACTACAACATAATTGTCAACGCTACTAACAACCAAAGCTTTCAATGAAGACTAAGCACCTTGACTGTGGCTGCTTAGCAAGATTTTTAGCAAACAAAACCCGAGCATTTTTCGAGTTCAGTGTTGTCCATTGAAATTTTATTATTTATATGAGAGAATTAAAAATCGCGATTATGATAATTTCATTTTTCGAACAAATACAATTAGTAATACTTGCTAAAGAGTTTAATTTAATATATTATTTAGTTTTTAGTACTATTATTGACAGTTTTTAATTGCGATTTGACAAGTTTAAATTAAATAAAAACGCACAAAATGAAATGCCTTTTTTCTAATTTCTGCGTTGGCAACACACAAACATAAAAACAACCCTCGGCTGATTATTCGTCGACAGCGAAATATGAATATGTAGTCGTACTGCCGATTAGTCATAACAAAAAAAGCTCGCATGTGCAATACGTGCTTAGCACGGATGCTACGAACTAAAAAAGCTAGTCGTTTGCTGATTTAGTCGTAATGTCAATATTTTTTAGCAGTAGCTCTGTAAGACTAATGCTAATATTTTTTGATGCTGCATTTTAAACCCTGGTTATACCGTATAGAAAATATTACAAAATATTCTAAAGACATACAACAACAACAAAATATATAAATTGTTGTGTTTTCAACAAAAAAAAAATTAAATAAAAACAAGTGTTTTCTGTGATGTGTCACATCAATGTCATTCTTGTTGTCCCTTATAATCCGTTATAATGATTTCAGTTCGTGTGTGTGTTGATGAGAGAGATGCATTGCATTGTTGTTGTTTTCGACTAAAGAGTAGTGATCTCATTTTCTTCCGGGCGTATTTAAGCTCCGTTTAAAATTGTTGGTGGAGCATTGTTGTGTAATATCCCTATCTGATGGTGGGGAGAGACGTGTTTAAAAGAGAAACGATGTTGAAGAGTGATAATGTGAATGTGATTTATCATGTTTACATTTAACGCATAATTATACAAGTATTAAAAGTGTGCAGAAACTAAAGCAGGAATTAAAGGGGTAAGTTTAAATCAGTGTTGAACAGAACTAAATTAAGAGTAAGTGGTTGAGAGCGTAACTGACTGTCAAATGTATATCGTATCAACAAAGATTGAACTGAAGTCTTCTGAGAAGTTCGAAAAACGAATTAGAGAAGACGAATGATTGTGCGTCACGTAAATATGACCTCTCATACATCGGTTCAAATCTGCGCTTCTTGGCCCGATAAACACCGCTGTACAGTCCCAATTTGTCACAAATTTTTTTTTATCACAATTAATTAGTTTCAAACGATCGATCGATTCGATGCGATCTCTCACACATCGGTTCAATCCAGCGCATTTTTGACAGAGCAAAAGATGACGTACAGTTGAGACTGAGACCGATTGTCTTGTTATACCCGAACATCAAAAAATGAAATGTGTGGTCGACGATTTTCTTCCCCGGAAGATTATGTCGAAGTGTTCAAGAACCTTGTTTATAAGGTGTCTATTTTTGTCCGTGTAAAATGTTTTTACAAGTATCTTAACTTATAGCGTATTTTTATAAAGACGTGGTTTCAATTAGTTTCAAATTTGAATCCATTGTTTCCACGCATTTTATTTGCTAATTTCACGCAAAAACAATATATCTTTCAAGATAGTGCTTTGCCATCTAATTGTTGCATGCATTCCCGGCAATAAATATCCTTAGACTTAGATATGGTCAATGGTCATTGCTAAGTTTTTGAATTGGATGCAACTTTACACTTTCATCCATGGTCATCAATCAACAACAGCAATGAAAAAAATCATAGTTGTAGCGCTAACGAAAAAAGTGCGAAATCATCAACAATTCACACATTGCAAGTGCGCGCGTCACTAAACACGTGCAACATTTAACACAACACCATGTAAGGTGAAACATTTCCTGCAACCACATTTGGAGGCATCAAATCGCAAACATGCATTCAAACAATGCACTTGAATACATAATACAATTTTCGAGTGTGTGCAGATATTTTGTAAAATCTTATCAAGATATGAAACAAAACGCAACACGAGAAGCAAAAAAAAACATCAGGTGTTTTCTACAAGTAGTATCATAGCCATAGACCATATAAAGTCCGAAACAATAAAATATCTGCAAATAGCGCATTTTGTGTTGTTAAATGTTGTTCACGTTGTTGTCGTCGTTGTTTCATTCACTTTTCATTTCGTTGAAAATTGTTTGGCGAACGTGTTCAACTGTCAAAATCTTTTCGAAATCAATTGAAG